TTTTTTTTTTTTTTAGTCACCATCTTGAAGTCACTGATCCAGTACAGTCTCCTGGCAGCCACGTCTGCTGTCAGTCCATGGGCCAATTGAGCTGTGAGCACTGTCAGAGAGCTTCTGTCTGACCCATCCATCCATGACCTCTCTATGGTCACCCTATCACCAGGGCCCGTGTTGACCCAAAACATCAAGCTGCCAGAACAAAGACCAAAGAAGCTTTTAAGATAATGCTTTTAGGGGAGAAAAAAAATGAATCAACTCTAATTGCATCCTGTTGAAAATGTTGATCAAGCCCACCTCTCCACCGGAAGGATAACCAATTCTGATGGGCTGATAGATTTGCTCAACAGAGCGGTGTAACTTTGTTCGTCATCTGCTTGCATGTAGATTGATTCTGTCCTCTGATTTGTCCAGAAAAGGTTTCCGTTCAGCCAATCACAAGCTAGACCTTTGATTCCAGGCTCTCCTATGTGAGCAAACATTTGAAGGACAGGTCAGCTTAATGCTCATGAAATAGCAAATGAAACACTTATGTTTTGAATGATTGCCAAAATTCTTTCTTTGGATGAAGCGTCACAGCTACAGTCATACTTGTGCATGCTTCATGAGTTTCGGAAGTCATTATAGATGAACATGAGGTATGGGTAAGAGCGTAACAAACCAGTATGAATTGTCCAGCTGCGCTGCCCATCACTTTTATATAGGACTCCCATGTTGTCAGCCCAATAGTAGTGGGCTCGGGCAATGTCATATGTCACGACAACTGGGTTGAACTTTAGAGTCTGGAGCACGTCAAAATGTTGTGACTTCACATTCAGCAGCCCGACAGATGTCCCCAACACTGTCAGCAGCCGGGTAACATTTCCTGAATAAAGGTAGCAGGTGTAACATTTCTTATGACACTTAAAAATTCACATTCAAGATTGTATTTTTTTCCCCTCTCTCTGATTCATAACACTTATTGATTTGGCATGAATAAGCTATTATAATACAAACATCAAATATGAAATTATACCATAATCCATAATTACCTGTGGCCAGACAGGCAAAGCCTTCATTCTGATTAAAGCCTTCTCTGCAGTGGCAAAAGTAAGATCCATCTGTATTGCTGCAGTGATGGAGGCATGGCGCAAAAGGAAGGGCGCATTCATCCACATCTGCGGGCACAAAAGTGGTTCAGCTGTTTTGGGTCAAATCAAAGCAGTGGCACACCACAGCCAGCAGGTGGTGCTGTGGTATAAATTGTCATTTTACTACTGTATACAGTCATGCAATGACACTTCACTCTTTCTGTCATAGGTCGATCCCAGAGTTTTGTATCATATTTAGCGAATATTATATGGTATAGTTTTCAACTATATTTCAGTATTTTATAGTTATGGTCCCCCATCGACTGTTACTGCAGAGCAAGAAGCTCAAGCCAAGATGAAAGTGTCCAAGCTTTGGGCTCATTT